TTATAAATTATAATTGATTTTAAAATCTGTTTATAATGTTTATAATTAAATTAATTAATTTAACTTCAAAAATCATAGCAAATTTCTTTCAAAACCCTTATAAGTTCTTCAGAACAATACATAAAAAGTATTATTTTATTTGTTTGTTTTTTATATAGAAAAAGCAAATTCAATAATTATCATTATGTTTTGATCTTACGAATTGCGTCACCATTTTTGACTTATCAAGATAAACATGCGAAGTTACGGCGATTCTATTAGGGGAGGGTGAATAAATGCGAACTAACATAAGTGTGAACTTGGTATAAGTGCGAAGCAGTTACAAAAACTGAACTGGCATAAGTGCGAATTGGCCGAATAAAATTGAATTGGCATTTCGCACTTATGTCAATTTGCATTTTTGCTAGTTCGCACTAATGCCAATGTTAAAAAATTATTTTGAGGCACTTATTCCAGTTCGCATTTATGCCGATTCGCGCATTTGCCAGTTTTTGCAACTGCTTCGCACTTATGCCAATGTTTGCGAATTCTTTTGGCGCATTTATGCCAGTTCGCACTTATGCTGATTCACAATTATGTCAGTTTTTGCAACTGCATCGCAATTATGCCAGTGTTTGCAAATTCATTTGGCTTTACAAACATTGAAAAAAAAACTTTCATCAGTTGCGTGTTGTTCAGTAAAACCAGAAAATAGTTTGTTCATAAATTAGGAGGCATCGTTTGTAAGAATCAGAAAATTTTGAAGAAAAAAATAATGCTGAAATTCGCCAATTCCGCTCTTTTTTACACAGGGCAGAACGGGGCTGGTTGCAACTGAGGTAAGTTGCAGCAATCCGTTATAAAGAATGGTTTTTATAAAAAGTTAGCTTTAAAAAACTTGTAATAATAAATTAAAATTTTCAAAAGTTTTGATAATTTTGTTTTTTCCATATAAAATTCTAATTTTTATTTTCCAAGTTTTTTTGGGTTTCACTGTAAACTTAGAGATAAATGACCTTATAAAACAATGGTAAGTTATAAAATCTTCTTCAAATACAAAAAAACTAAAAAAATTAGATTTGTTTAATGTAAATAATTAACTACATTGATTAGAAATATTATGGAGCTTACGAAGTAAGTTGCAACAAATTGCTTGGGGTAAGTTGAATCATAAAATAAACGTCTTATTGATTTTACGCAATTTAAAAGTCACTTCTAAAAGTAATCGACGTTTTTTTTACGAAAAAGTTAATTTTTAGAAAATAGCAGTAATTAAAAACATTTAAGAAATTGTTGAATTGAAATTTCTTTAATACTTTTTTATTTTTAATTAAAGTTTAAGGTTATTATTACCATGTGGGTAACATTGACATGTATTTGATTAAGGGTGGAATGCAAGAAGCAAACTTGAGCCAAATTCGACTTGAACTTTATTTTGTAACCAATAGCGGCAGAGTATTTTTTGAGGCGAAAACCTATACTCTGTCGCTATTGGTTGTAATGTAAAGTTCAAGTCGAGCTTGACTCAAGTTCGCTATTTGCATTCCACCCTAAATGTTTTTACAAGTCACCCATTGATTGTTATCTAAATTAACTTAACAGATACTGCAGCCAGATGTTGAATTAACAAATATATTTTTATCCACATAATGGTAAGTGTAAATAACAACACAATACGGAGGGCATAAATTAAACTGAATTCTATTTTTTTGTTGTTGCTAAAAACCTTTAGTCAAAAAATAAGAAAAATCAAGCATAATATCATTTTTACATTATATCATTTTTACATGTGTTTTTATGATGTTGTTTCTATATACCCAACATTAAAAAAAAATTTTAAACGCATATTTCAGTTTTGGGGTAAGATTGACAGGAATGCTTAAGAGAATCAAGCAAAAGTAAAATTATCTTATTGTTTCTAAAACTAAACCAAACACTAAAGAATATTAACGAAGAAATCCAACAAAAAAATACAGCGCTGCGGGATTTTATCGTAATCAGATGTTAAGTCATTAATATGATGCAGAGCTTAATAGTTCAACGATTCTTATAGAAAAAAAATTTAATCATAAATTAATATACATTTTTATGTAGATACTAGGGTTTCTTATTTCCCGTAATTTTAGCATCTCGGGATTCCCGGTGTGAAACTTATTTATCCCGGGATTTCCCGGCATGATTTTTAGTATAATAACAAGCGGTTTCTGACACAAATTTATTAAATTTAAAGATAAAATATAGATTATAATCTATATTACGATTTAAAATAAAATATTGTTTTAAAAAACCTAAACAATCAATTAATTTGTCACTTAACCGTGAACGAATTTTTCCATAAATAGACGCGCGGCAGAAAAAACTCTTTCTGATTCAATTAATGTCGGCTTGATGGTTCATTTATGTCGGCTTGATGGTTCATTAATGTCGGCTTGATGGTTTATTAATGTTGAATATTTTCTTTTTAAACTTTCGCATACGCTTTCTAGTTGTCTCAAAAAGTTTAACTTCTTTTGTGAGGTTTTTTAAATTGCTAATGTTTTCTAAAGCTGCTTTTTCTATTTGTTTGACATTACAAATAGTCGCATCTCATTTTTGTTCAAGTGTCAAAATACTTTTGCCTAATAAATTAGGAGCAACATGTTGAGGTATTGACGGGTCAGAAACCATGCTTTCATTACGACAACTCACTTCAACTGTTTTATTATTTGATGAACTAGTGATAGCATCCTCTATGTACAACCTGGTATAAATTTTTTTTGCTGTTGATTTTAGTGCATGTTTGGATGGTAAGAGTAGTTTGGAGTTGATATTTGATTCCTGATTATAACTAATTGGGTTGTTTAAAAATATTAGTAGTCTAATTAAACGGACATTTCTGCGTTCTTCAATTCTCTGCTGCACAGATTGTAGCAAGTTCTTCAATTCTCTGCTGCACAGATTGTAGCAGTTTATTTGCTATAAAATTTTTTCTCTCCGCTAAATCGTCTAAGATGAATATCATTACACCTTCTGCTTCGAGTAGAGTAGCATTACTTCTACCAAATCTTTCTATTCCAACTTTTATCAGTTGCACAGAAATTGTTATGTCGTTCATAATCGCATATTTATCTAAGGAGATATTCAGAACTTCTTTTGAATCAATCGTTGCTTTTAGTATACATGTTTTTACTTTAAGGAATCTTTTTAGCATCGCAACAAGACTATTCCACCTCGTTTTGACATCTAATATCAGCTTAAGTTTTTTATAAAACATAGATTTTACGTACATTTGTAAAACTTCATTTTTAAGAAGTGATTTGCGAAACAATCGAACCACTTATCGAACCTTCTGAATTGTTAAGGCTATATTTATGCTATTTTGTAAACCATCAATAAACGCAACGCTTGTTGAGCTGTATGACTCATCATTACAGTCAAATACATCATCAAACTCATCGTAATCACTCAAACTTTCATCGGAATCTTGAAACTGCGATTCAAATTCAATATATTTTGCTGAAGAGTTTGACTTTTTGTAAAGAATAAACATCCGGCCAAATAAAGTCCGTGGGCATAACACAGCTGATGTTCAATACCACTTAGCCGTGCAAATTTTTTCATCATGGATGCTCCGTCAGTGACACTAGCTATGATTTGCTTTTTAATTGATAAACTGAAATCTGACAGTTTATTTTCAACTAGATCAACAATTTTTTCTGCAGGAAGTGACCCAGCTATCGGAGTCATTACCAGGTTCCAAAACTTTGTCGATAAGTGTAAATTTACATTTAAATAACGTCGATTTTTTAAAGATGTATATTCGTCTAACGAAAAAGAAAATTGCGACCCGCTAGATTTCTTTTTTTATCTCTAAAACCACAGTTTGTTTAGTTAAATCACATTGTTTTTTTTATCATACCCATAACATGGGATGAATTTTTTGGTATTAACATGCCTTTTTCAGACAATGATCTTCTAATGAGTTCACTTTTTGTTATGACATTTATTGAGAAGCCATCCACAGTTGCTAGCTTTGATACAATTTCCTCGATAGTCTGCTGTTTAACAAACAATGTGATTTTCTTTTGCACAATTTTAATTTCCGAACCAGCATCTTCATGTTGACACTTCATATTTAAATCCAAATCTTTATGTGTGTTTTTTAAATGACGTAGGAGCCCACTTGTCGAAAATCCTTTGCACATTATCTTTACATTGCACTTTTTGCAAATTGCAGATTAGCCAGATTTTTCTTTACAAAAATACTGCCATGCTTTCGACCCATTTACAACTGACATGGTGTAACTAAATTGAATTGTAAAACAACTAAACGTAAAGTTACAAATATTTCTTACATATGTATATTATCTTACGTATGACTTTAAATATCTTTGTTTGCTGTTTTTTAGATACAAAAATTATTAAATATTTCAATAATTCAATACAGAAAAAGTTAAAAAAAACTTAAAAACAAGTAAAATGAATTAAAAAGTTTAACTTTTCAATAATTTAGAAGTTTAAAAATCAAACTTACTGTTTTCATCTCAAAAAATTTTTTATATTTTTTACTCATATATATAATATTTTTATATTTATAGTAACGAGAAAAAAGAAAACATCGCATTGCAATGCATTCCTTGAGTTAGATATTTTAAGATAGTTTCAATTGCATTTCTTGTTGTGTTAGGTTTTAATATAAGGTATGAACACCTAAAATACAACTAAATGCAATAATATTTTTCTTATTTTTGGTTGAATTAGTTCAAACAGTTATCATATGTAAAATTAAAAAAAATTATATTCCGGGATATAAGAGTGATATCCCGGAAAATCCCGCTTCATTTTTATCCCCGGTATTCTGGGAAAACGGGATCCCGGGATCCCATTTGAGAAACTCTATCAGAACTAAAGCTAATTGATATCTTTCAAAAAATACTATAACATGACGTTTTCATTACAATTTTACAACTTTTTAATGCTGCTTATTTTTAAAACAAAAATATAGGTTCGTGGTAATCTATATTAAAAACGTTTTCTCTATT